GCTTCAGGAAGCCCAACAATTTGCCTCGCCTACCACTACTGTGGCTCACTCTAATAATCTTTTAGCCTTTATGGCTCAATTTCCTTCTAATGGACCTTGGATTCTTGACTCCAATGCATTTGATCATATGATTGGTAATCAATCCATTTTCTCTCAATTGTCCTTCTCTGACTCCTTGCCACTTGTTACTCTCGCTAATGGTTCTCAAATTAAAGTTCATGGCATTAGTCAAATGCACCTACTCCTTCATCTCCCTTTACACTTTGTCTTGTTTGTTCCTAATTGTCCTTTTAATTTAATTTCCATTAGCAAACTCACACGTACCCTTGATTTATCTGTGTTGTTTGTTAATAAATCTATTTTTATTCAAGATCGACATATCAGGCAAATGATTGGAGTAAAGGATGAGTCTGGGGATTATATCGTCTCTCACCACCGGTTGCTTGTATCTCCACCTCTGCCGATCTTGCCCATCAGTGTCTTGGTCATCATAGTTTGGAGAGATTACGAATTTTAGTTCCTAGCATTTCCACCATTAAAAACATCCTGTGTGAGTCATGTCAATTAGGGAAACATGTTCGTCAGTCTTATCAATCTAATGTCAATAAATGTGTTGTGTCACCATTTACCCTGGTTCACTATGATATTTGGGGACCCAGTCGAGTCTGTTCAACTTTAGCTTATTCTTATTTTGTTACCTTTATTGATGATTTTTCACGTTGTACTTGGATTTTCTTAATGAAGCAATTTTTTGAAGTTTCAACATTTTTCAAAGTTTTTTCACTGAAATTGCTTCTCAATTTGGTCAGATTATTAAAACCTTACACACTGATAATGCAAAAGAATACTTATATTCCAAATTCTAGTCTTTTCTTTTCTTCCAGGGTATTCTTCTTCAAACCTTTTGTGCCCACACCTCACAGCAAAATGGTGTAGCTGAACACAAAAATCGTCATTTGGTTGAAACAACTAATACTCTTCTCCTTCATCATAAACTTCCACTTCGCTTTTGGGGTGATGCGATTCTTATTGCCTGTTACTTGATTAATCGCATGCCCTCCTCTGTTCTCAACAATCAAATCTCATGCACCATATTGTATCCACAACATGATCTTTATCCTGTTCCACTTCGTGTCTTTGGATGTACATGTTTTGTCCATGATCTCACCTCAAGTAAAGATAAATTTTGTGTTACACCCACCTCTGGTTGCAGCCCACCTTTGACCGCCACCACCGACCTCCAACCGCTGCCACCGACCTCTGGTCATCATTGATATTCATCTTCCATGGCTGTTATTGCTCCAACTACGATGTTTACCAACATCCCTCTGATTCCTTGTGAGAAGCTTACTAGAGCGGCAAATTATACCACTTGGGCAGCCATGGTTCAACTTTGGTTTTATGGTCAAGGACATGCCGACCACTTGACAACTCATTTTTCTGAGAGTGTTGTTGACCAACGTGACCAGTGGTAGCAAATTTATGCTCATGATGTTCAATGTCTTTACAACGTCATCACCACTATGATGACCACCAAGCTTGAGAATAGGGACATACAAACATATCTAAGTAAGCTCAACCGTCTAATTGCTGATTACAATAATTTAATGCCTTATCCCTCTAATGTGGAGACCTTTGAGAAATAGCAAAACCAGTACTTCATGATTCTTGCACTTGCTGGCCTTCCTCCTGAGTTTGAGTTTGTATGTAATCATATTTTGTCTACCCACGTTATTCCTACAAACGACATTGTTAGTGAACAATTGTTGGGTCTCTCCATCTCTCACACTATGGCTACTCCTTCTATAACTATTGCTGAAGGTCATGGAAAATAGAATCATCGTTGCAATTATTATCGCCTTTTTGGCCATATTGAAGTCAACTATCACAAAAAGGCTCAATAACATTCATCATCAGCAAATGTTGCTCATGTGCCCAATACTACATTCTTTGCCAATCCTTCCTCTCTTGTAGATGTCACTATTTTTGCCTCTTACTATCAAGACTCTTTCAGCTTCAGGAAGCCCAACAATTTGCCTCGCCTACCACTACTGTGGCTCACTCTAATAATCTTTTAGCCTTTATGGCTCAATTTCCTTCTAATGGACCTTGGATTCTTGACTCCAATGCATTTGATCATATGATTGGTAATCAATCCATTTTCTCTCAATTGTCCTTCTCTGACTCCTTGCCACTTGTTACTCTCGCTAATGGTTCTCAAATTAAAGTTCATGGCATTAGTCAAATGCACCTACTCCTTCATCTCCCTTTACACTTTGTCTTGTTTGTTCCTAATTGTCCTTTTAATTTAATTTCCATTAGCAAACTCACACGTACCCTTGATTTATCTGTGTTGTTTGTTAATAAATCTATTTTTATTCAAGATCGACATATCAGGCAAATGATTGGAGTAAAGGATGAGTCTGGGGATTATATCGTCTCTCACCACCGGTTGCTTGTATCTCCACCTCTGCCGATCTTGCCCATCAGTGTCTTGGTCATCATAGTTTGGAGAGATTACGAATTTTAGTTCCTAGCATTTCCACCATTAAAAACATCCTGTGTGAGTCATGTCAATTAGGGAAACATGTTCGTCAGTCTTATCAATCTAATGTCAATAAATGTGTTGTGTCACCATTTACCCTGGTTCACTATGATATTTGGGGACCCAGTCGAGTCTGTTCAACTTTAGCTTATTCTTATTTTGTTACCTTTATTGATGATTTTTCACGTTGTACTTGGATTTTCTTAATGAAGCAATTTTTTGAAGTTTCAACATTTTTCAAAGTTTTTTCACTGAAATTGCTTCTCAATTTGGTCAGATTATTAAAACCTTACACACTGATAATGCAAAAGAATACTTATATTCCAAATTCTAGTCTTTTCTTTTCTTCCAGGGTATTCTTCTTCAAACCTTTTGTGCCCACACCTCACAGCAAAATGGTGTAGCTGAACACAAAAATCGTCATTTGGTTGAAACAACTAATACTCTTCTCCTTCATCATAAACTTCCACTTCGCTTTTGGGGTGATGCGATTCTTATTGCCTGTTACTTGATTAATCGCATGCCCTCCTCTGTTCTCAACAATCAAATCTCATGCACCATATTGTATCCACAACATGATCTTTATCCTGTTCCACTTCGTGTCTTTGGATGTACATGTTTTGTCCATGATCTCACCTCAAATGAAACTTAAATTAGGAGTTTTATTTTGCTTGGTATTCCTGGAATAATATTAATGTTATTAATTATGAGGAGCATTTAAAGATACAAACGTTGGTTTTTCTTTCTGCTATAAATAAGTGTAATATTTCATTTGTAATATGAATGAGAATACAGAGAGTTTATTTGCTCCCAATTTATACCTTTTGTTCTCAACAACTCTGCATTATGACAATGTTTCCTCTCAACGGCTGGTGAGTATGAGGACATGTTAAACCATGACGTATACCTAGAGTATTAAAATAAGTAGTGAAAGGACGATACTCCCCTCCCCAGATTTAATGGACTTATAAAGTTGTAATTCAACCATTGTTTTAAATTGTTTGAATACCGTAAGAGCTTCAAACTTGGGTTTTAACAAATAAATCCAACTAAAACAAGAATACGCATCCACGTAATGAAATTTATTATGAGAAGTAATGGGAGCTGATCCCCACAAATCACTGTATCAATTCCAATGGTGAATTATATTTAGTTTCAGACGCATGAGAAGGTAGACGACGCGCTTTACTCAAGCAACATGCAAACCAGAAAGGTAAAGTAGTTTTATCAGGAAAAGAAATATTAAAATGCTGAAAAGTAAGACGTAAAACATGAATGTTTGGATGACCAAGTCTAAGGTGGCATGTAAAGGAAGTGTTAGGCGCTACAATGTTGCAATTATTTTGAACAGTGGTGGTATTTATACAAAGAGAAACAGAAGAGGAATTGAATTTCATCAAGGAGTCTTTAATAAGCTGCAAACTGGAAAATCAATTGAGAGCATCAGGTCTGACTTGACCTTGAAGAAGAATTGCATTGGAGGCTTGAGATTTGACAAAAAAACTTTCAAAAGGAGAATGAAAAAATGTATAACCAAAGGATGAAATGGAAACATTGCCAATGAAGATCTGGTCAAGACCTTCTCCTTCAAAAGGTATGGTTTGTTGTATATTTTGAGAGTTGCTCATTACATGAAACGAAGCCTGAGTCAGGAAACCAAGTAGTAGACAGACCATGTTCGGTATTGGCAACCATGACATAAGGTTGCCTAGGACATAAAGACTGTTGTTGAGATTGATTCCGTTGTAAGGTATTCATATTTGGATTTTGAGTGAATTGTCGATTCCACTGTGAGTGACCAAATTGGTTCCAAGGCAACGACCACTGAAAGTTGGGAGAAGTTTGTGTCTGATATTGTTGATTGAAACGATGATAGCAGGATAAAGCTGTGTGACCATATCTAAAGCATACTTGTCATTAAGTGGAATACTGACCACCACGACCTCGTTTGTGGCCAAAGCGACCTCCGCAATAACCAGAACCACTAAACTCATTAAAGGAATTTTGATTCTGATAGTTTTTAGAGGATTTTTCACCATCATTAAAATTTGGAGCAGCCTGGGAAGTAGTTTGAGTAAGATTAACTGAGGGAGAAGTGGCAGTATCAACGGAAACCTTTTTTCTATACTTTTGGAGGCGAAGTTCTTGAGCAAGGGTCAAAACTTTAACCTGTCCAATGGATATACGTTACAGAAGACTCCCAACTAATGCAATAATTGAGTCAAATTCTTGAGGAAAACCTTTAAGAATAGCATCTAAATGCTCACGTGACCATATAGGTTCGCCTGTTAGGGTTATTTCACTATAATAAAAAGTATCATTAACGACAATTATTTAGAATTAATAAGATAATTGTCTACATATCTTTAGTAGCCAATAAAAATTAACTGGTAAAATTTTATTTATAGTGGTAATTTTTAAAAATTGCCGTTATTATCACATTTTTATTTCGCTTTTTTTTTCTTTCAAAATTCCTCACACTCTTCATACATGACAAGATTTCATTTTTTCTTTGCCTCACTTCTCATTGTCTCATCTCACTTTCACTCGCGCGGTTTCAAGCTTCAATCATGGTTCCTTCTATCTCTCGTGCGCATCAACTCGTTTTGCTATTGGATCCTCATATGGTAATATCTCTTGTGATTTTGGCTTCAATTCCAATTTTAGGGTTTTGTTTTGTATGATTCATTTTTTCTTTTCCATTTCAAACTCTTTCTCTATCTCTATCTCTTTCTGTTATAAAATGAATGTTTCGATTTGATTGTGCCTTCTACCTAGTGAATTTTGCCATTGTTCTCTTTAGCTAAGCTTGATGGTGTAGGAGTTGATGAGTAGTACTCAATTTCAGATCCAGAATTATTAGCAGAGGTAATGCAGGACATGTCATGCTTTTTGTATTAATCTTTTAAATACAAAATATTTATGTTTGTTTGATTTTAATCAAACTGTAGCAGTGGATACTAGCATCCTTTTCCCTGTTATTCTGTGGGATCAGAATCCGTTCTGCATATATATATATAGAGAGAGTTTCTACATACGTACACCAATTAATACGGAGAAATTGACTTGGGAGCAGTGGGGTGTTTGCATTGCCATTGCATCTTCGTCTTGGTCAATTAGTTTTTTTGTGAAGAGTATCCTAAACTTGAAAACTTGAAAATTTTGAATAGTCATATAGTTGCAGAATCTTACTTTGAGTAGAGATTATCCATTTCAACTAGCAGAAATGGTTCTATTATGTGAAACTTGGTTAGTACATATGGTGCTAGAGACAATACTATGATCTGGCATTTGTTTTGTCCTTATCCACTACATGATTCTGTTCTTCAAGTTGGCAAAATAACTAATAAAAAATAATCTTAAAAATATAAATATTATTTAGCTTTATCCATATATGAGAGGAGATTGAGAGCAAGCAACTATATTTACATCTTAAACCACACAGTTTGTGGATGTTATTGAACCATTGGAAAGCGTCGGTGTAAATATGATCCCAACTACCAAATAGGATATTGAGAGGTTTGTTACTTTTTGTTAATTAGACTCTGAACTTTTAGTGTATTGACATTTGTTCAGCAGCTATAAACGTATGTATTCCCTGTATAATATCTATTATGCTATTGTCATCATATTTTAAATCTCAAGCTTTATTCAGGATATAGTCACTTGAAGGAGTTAAAAACAGTTTGTGTGTTTCCGTAATGAATTTTTGTCCAAGCCTCTTAAGATGAGTTTCATGTGGTTACTTGATTCTAAGATAGCTTTGCCCTGAAAGGGTGAGATGTTATGCTAATGATCAGATTTCACCAATATTAATACTATGTTAGTCTCACATCCTATCCCAATCTTATTATGACACTTTGATCTTCTTTCAAACAACTATTTCAATTCAAAAACCCAAGTTACTAGAATTTCTGGGAAGTTCCCTAACAAAACTTAGGCAAATTAAATGAATACTAGTTTTAGCTTCTTATTTGTTTTATGTAAATAGAGATTTCACTGCTATGACTATCTCGCTTGGCTGTTACAATAACTTTTCTCCTTTTTTGTTTGATTCAGATGTCTACACTCTGCAGTGTATTTGGATTTTAGTTAGATTGGATTGTTTTGGACATATATAATGTACTAATACAATATAAGCATCAAATATAATACACATTTTGTAACTGGGACAATTATGAGGTTTTAGTTATGATTATCTAAAAGCTCTTTTCATAATTTCTATTTCGTTATCAATCGAGCAATAATCATTTCATATATTATACATATTTGATACAACATTATGATTACTTAATTTCAAAAATTAATATTATAGGATGCCATATATATAATTCCAAAAATTCAAACTATGAATAGCCTCAAGATAAGCAAAGTCATGCATTAACCAAGGTAGAGAATATATAATAGAAAATAATTGTGTTGGTATTGATTGACATTTTGGATAGAGAATAGGAGATGAAAGGAGTCATGTCACTTTTAAAGTGGTAGAAATATATATTTTTTAAACCAAAGGTATCCCAGCCAATAGATAGAGATTAATCCTTTGGAGATATAGAGATTATTGAAGTGAGTTTTGCCTCTTCCAATAAATTATTTTTTATATATGTTGGGATACAAACAAGTCCCACATCGATAAAATAAAATAAGAAATAACAATTTATATAATATAAATATACTTCAATGCTTGAGAGGTCTTTTAGATAATGACCAAAAGTAAAACCGTGAGGGCTAAGGCTCAAATCGGACAATATCTCATCATTGTAGAGTATATTTGTGTAATAACCTTATAAAAAATAATCCTCATAAAATATTCTCTCAGACAAATACCATAAAATAACCTCTCAAGCATTGGTATCAAAGCTGCCTGGTTGGATGCAGTAACAATCATAACATATAATGTGATATATAAAGACCGATTCCGCTGCATGAAAGGTTAGGTCCCTTGTTTGAGGGGAGGATTGTTGAGATACAAACAAGTCCCACATCGATAAAATAAAACAAGAAATAACAACTTATATAACATAAACATACTTCAATGTTTGAGAGGCCTTTTGGGTAATGACCAAAAGCAAAACTGTGAGGGCTAAGGCCCAAAACAGACAATATCTCATTATTGCAGAGTATGTTTGTGTAATAACCTTATAAAAAAACAACCTTCATAAAATATCTCCCTAGAACAAATATCATAAAATAACCCCATCAATACACACCACCAAGGACCAAACCCCTATCAAGATGCTGAAGGGAGCTATCTACCTACTAGATCAGACTTTCTTGATAAATGGTAGAAATATCTAAAAAGCCTTAAGATTTTCTGTTAATTTTGTTTCACAATTATTAATTATCGTGGATGGTTTTTGTATTACGCCCTTTCTAATTAAAGAGCATTGGTGTAATATATTCTTTTTGTATTTTTGTTGTCTGGCTGTAATTTGACTTGGTTATTTGATAATATCATTATTTTATTAAAGAGTCAGCATTTGTTTAACCAAATTTTTATTTATTTTAATAATTATTGTTTTTTTTTTAGAGTTCCTTTGTTTCTTTTTTTAGTGCATGTATTTCATGTAAAGTTGGATGGAAGCATGGAGCAGTAATTTGCCTTTTGATAATTAGGACGCATTAAACAACCCACTCTTTGGTAAGATCTACAAAACAAATCTTCAACTTTACTTTTATTTCTATTTGTATTCTTATAATATGGTCTCATCATTATATGGTGTGTATCAGGGGCGTAGATTGTATATATATGACTGTATTATACTATTATGCCTTTTTATTTTAATCATTACTTCAATTTAATGTTTGATATGGAATTACATATTTTTATGTTTTCATTTATACTTTTTGGTGTGTTTATAACCTTTAATTTTTTTAATTTTTTTTTAAAATGACACTTTATAGTTCCCTCTCAGCGAACAACTATTGTTAATTCTTTCAAGTTCTAACATGTTTCATTTTTTTTTTCAAAAGTCCAATAAGAAGCAAATAGCATATAATTTACTTTTATAGCTCGTAGAATTTTTAAAAATATTTTTTTTATTGTTAGAAAAATAATTTCATTTTATTATTTATATAAAATTAACTATTATTTTAAAAAAGTGAACATGAATTAATTTTTAATATTATTATTTCAAAGTTAATTCCTTTTAAAATCAATTTACCTATTCTAGAATAAGAAAGAGAAAAGTTTTAGTCATTCTCTTAAATAATAAAGAGATATCAAATTTATACAATAAAAAATATACAATAATTTATTCAACACATTTTTTTTTGTTTCTTTCCATTACATCACTCATTATATCCCACATTTCTCTTGATATGTGTAATTGAACTATTTTTTAAAACTTTAATAAAATTAACCAATTTTAATTATTTCTATTGATATGTGTAATTCGGTTAAGAGTATCTTATAAAAAGAATCAAAGGGAGTATATACTAAAAAATATTATGTTCATATTTGGCCCCCCTTAACTTTATATCCTGGCTTCGCCCCTAGTGTGTAATTATATCATAGTGATTCTTTAGCACATGTTTTGCCTTTTCTTTTTATATACAAAGCTTCAATTTTCACAATACTCATATAAATGCAATTTTTTTGAATAGTCATGTATAACGCTCATAACAAAAGGTGGATGGAGTGTGATAGAGTTAGTAAAGAATATTTGGATGGAGTAGGGAACTTTTTAGACTATGCCTTTTCTCAAGAACATGGAGAAACAATTCAATGCCCTTGTAAAGAATGTGTTTTACACTAGTTGGTAAATCATGTTGTAACTTATGAGCACCTTGTGGTGAATGGTGTTATGGCATTGTATGATACCTGGTTTTGTCATGGGGAGTCAATAAATGTGCCAAATTGTGTCGAAGACAACAATTGCAGAGAGGAAGCTTTTCAGGGTGATGATATGGTAAGAATGATAAATGATGCTTTTGGAGGCTCTACCCAATTCAATATTAGTGAAAGGGATGATATTAAACCATACTTAGGAGAAAATGTTCCTCATTCATCAACAAATCAATCCCATCCAACTGTGGAGAAGTTTGAACGATTAATGAAGGATGCGGATGGAGAGCTATATCCTGGGTGCAAGAAATTCAACAAACTTTCTTTTTTTACTGCATCTTTACCATATAAAGTGAATGTTCGAATGGACAAATGAGTCTTTTAATGCTTTGCTTGGACTTTTAAAGGAAGCATTGCTTGAGGGAGAAAAATTACCTCCTACATATTATGAGACAAAAAGGATAGTTGAGGGATTGGGCTTAAAGTATGAAAAGATCTATGTTTGTCCTAATGATTGTATGCTTTTCAAGAATGAATTCGTTGATAAGGATGCTAATGAATGCTCAATTTGTAAGGCTTCTCGATGGAAAATGATGATAAAAAAATTCCTGCCAAGGTCTTAAGGTATTTTCCTTTGAAATCAAGGTTGCAAAGATTGTAACACCCTAGTTTTCATACCTTAAATTGAGGGAATGAACTTCTATTATCAAAGAAAAGGAGCTCCCAAAAACATGATATGACATCAGAAGGCCTAAAGCCCAATAAGGGTGTTTTAATAGCCTAGAACGGGTCGTTCCCAAAATTGGAACGGGGCGTTCCCAAACTGGAACGGGATGTTCCAAACTACTAAAAAGGTCTAAAACCCTAGTTGAGAAGATATCATCAAAATTCTAGCATGATCCAATGGTTAACGAGTTCTCTAGAAGCCTCACACCACAGCTGGAAAAAGTAGTACGTATGGTCCTTAAGGGCCCAATAGAGCACCTAAATGGGCCAAGATGGCTTCTAAAGGCCCAAAAAACTCCAGAAAACTTTGCGTTAGGCAGCTTTTTTATTCTGATAATATCTCTCTCTAAAGACCTAATTCTCATTATCTGACTGTTGAAGTTAAATATTAATAGACTAAGAATATATCATCAAATTTTTAGGATGATCCAACGGTTAATTATTTCTCTAGAGGTCTCGCATTGCAGCTAGAAAATATAAATCCTATACCAAACAACGTTCTTGTTATAATAGTATCTCTCACTACAGGCCTAATTTCAATTATCCAATCGTTGAAATTGAAGATCAATATATTGTAAGGATACCATAAAAGAACCAGCACAATCTGACGGTTAAGGTGTTCTCTAGAGGTCCTGCATGGTGCCTAGGAAAAGATTGTATTTTTATAATGATTTTTTCCACATCGAATAGCTCTCTTATGCTTCTATCTCCAAGTTGGCTATATAAGAAACCCTCTGGCCAAGGAATTAAGAAAAAGAAAGAGCTGCATAGCTTCCCCCCTCTCTATATAAACTTTTGAGTGACAATGAGGTTTTTGTAGAGTGAATGGCTGTCAAAACGCGTCCCGTACGCATTTAGGAAGATTCCCTTATAAAAGTCTTGCTTTAGAGGTTTTAAATTCTTCTCTTTTATTTATTATTTCTACTTATTTTATTTATTTTATTATTTGTTATTTCATTTATTATTCTTTTATTTCTTTATTTATCATTTTATTATTTTATTTATAATATTTATATACCAATAAATAATCATGTAGATAATAGGTATTTTTTGTCATGTAAATAATATTAAATAATAAAAGGGGATAAAATATTTAAAATATTATTTGTTATTATGCTAATTTTATCATAGGGTACCAATTTAGGGCGTTGTAGGGGTATCTAATACCTTCCTTACACGTAACTGACTCTCGAACCCAATTTTGGCTATGAAAGCCTTTATTTTAATTTCAAAATCTTTTATTTTTCCAATATTTTAAGTAAAACATTGGTGGCGACTCCATGAACTCATTTTTCAAAACCATTATTTGAAGATTAGTCTGGCGTTTGAGCATTCCTTAATTAATGAGATTTTTCAAAAAGGTAGTTCAAACCATTAGTGTAAGATCAAAATTTTTCGGGTTACGACATTGCTTATATGAGTGAAAAAAGGGTAAAAGGGTTATGTTATTTTTGTGATGAACCTTTTACTCCTGAGCATGGACTAAGTCATAAAAAGTTGCAACTGCATGTGATGGAAGTGAATGAGTTACAGGATGAGGAGGAGGAAGAAGTGCTACTTGAAAACTCCATGGGATCCAATTCTACAAATCCTCAAATTTCTGTACATGCCCTCATTGGAATTGCCAATTTCCAAACCATGTGTCTGACTGGTTACCACCAAAAGAAGCCTCTCCATGCTCTGATTGAAAATGATAGTACCCACAATTTTTTGGACATTGAGGTAGCTAAGAGATTGGGTTGTAGGATTGATGCTTTTAATTCCCTGAGTGTGGTTGTTGCTGATGGCACAAAGTTAAATGTTTCTACAGTAGTTAGAGGATTTCAGTGGACAATTCAACAAACCAAATTTACTTATGATATGTTGCTCATTCCATTGGGGTGTTGTGATTTGGTCTTAGGAGTGGAGTGACTAGTTTCCTTGGGTGATATTGTATGGAATTTTAATAAGCTACAAATGGAATTCTATGTTAAGGGAAAGAAACATGTATTAAGAGAAGCCTCTTCTGGATTGAAAACAGTTAAGAAGAAACAACTGGGGAAGGCTATGGTAACTGGTGTTCATTTGTCAATTTTACAAGTTTGTGATGGCCAAAGTGGTCTTCTGAATTCTCTTACTACTCAGGCTACTGATGACGAAGTCCCTCCTGATATTGCCAAGTTGTTGGATAAGTTCTCTAATTTATTTCAGGAGCTTAGTGAGTTACCTCCAAGAAAACCTGGTCATGACCATTAGATTCCTCTAGTTCCAGGAGTTGGCCCAATTAGTAAGAGACCTTACAGGTATGCTAAACAGTAGAAGGATGAGATTGATAAATTGGTTCAGAAATACTTGGCAGCTGGTATAATTCAAAACAGTAGTAGTCCTTTTGCAAGCCCAATGGTTTTGGTGGGGAAGAAGGATAGGTCATAGAGGTTATGTGTGGATTATAGGGATCTTAACAAACATACAGTTAAGAACAAGTTCCCAATTCCCTTAGTAGATGATCTGTTGAATGAATTGGCTGGTTCTAGCATTTTTTTGAAAATTGATTTTGAGGTTAGGATATAATCAGGTGAGAATGGATCCTATTGATGTATATAAGATTGCTTTTAAGACTCATGCTGGGCATTTTGAGTACTTAGTGATGCCCTTGTGTCTCACTAATGCCCTACAACATTTCAAGGGCTTATGACTCAATTTTTAAGGAGTTTTTGAGGAAGCTCCTGCTTGTGTTCTTTGATGACATTTTAATCTACATGTCTTCATTGGAAGACCACTTGTTGCATTTATAGAAGGTTTTGGAAACTATGAGGACGAATTCATTGTTTGCTAAGAGGAGTAAGTGCTATTTTGGGGTTTCTAGGGTGGAGTACCTTGGCCACTTCATTTCTAAGGAAGGGGTATCAACTGATCCAGCTAAGGCACTAACAGTAGAGTAGTGGCCATTACCTCATAATTCAAAACAGCTTAGGGGATTCCTGGGGTTAACTGGATACTATAAAAGATTTGTCAAAGGGTATGGTGGAATTGCTAAACCCTTAACTTACGTGCTTAAAAAGGACAGCTTTCTCTAGTCTGATGCTGCAAAACTGGCTTTTCTGCAATTAAAGAGGAAGCTTAGTGAGGCTCTAGTTTTGGCTTTGCCTGACTTTTCTAAACTCTTTGTAGTGGAGGTGGATGTTTCAGGTTTGGGAATTGGAGTTGTCTTAAGGCAAGACCACCACCTATATCTTATACAAGTAGACATTTGAATCAGCAACAACAATCTTATTCTACTTATGAAAAGGAACTACTAGTTGTGGTCATGGCTGGCCAAAAATGGAGACATTATTTTTTTAATACTTACTTTATAATCAAGACTGATCATAGAAGCTTGAAGTTCATGTTGGATAAAAAATGGACTACAACATTTCAGCAAAAATGGTTGGTGAAATTAATGGAGTTTAATTTCTCAATTGAATATAAGCAGGGACATGATAACGTAGTTGCTGATGCTTTTTCTCGAGTTGAACCTGTTGCTTGTCAAGCTCTAGATGTTCATCAGGTGGTTTTTGAATGGCTGCTCAAGATTAAAGCCTCTTGGAATTCAGATCCTGCAGTTCAAAAATTGATTTCTGAATTCCAAGATGCCTCTGTGTCTCATAGACATTACTCTTGGAAGGATGGCAAGTTAAGGAGTGTCGCAACCCGAAAATTTTTGATCTCGCGACCTATGATTTAGACATCTTTTTGAAAATCTCATCAATTAGGGAATGCCTAGACACCACATTAATCCTTAATTAATAGTTTTGAAAAATAGGTTCTTATGTTTTACTCAAAACATTGAAAAAAGAAAAGGTTTTTAAAAAAAATAATTCAATAATGGCCTTAATAACCAGAATTGGGTTCAGGGATTAGTTACGTCTAGGGAAGGTATTAAGCACCACTACAACGCCCTCAATCGGTGATGAAGTTAGCGAAGAATTAACAAGTTATATATTTAATCCCCTTTATTAATGATTATTTACAAGCTTGAAATTTAAATTACACAATTGACTATAAAATATATATATAATTGATTTTATTATAAAAATGTTCATAAAAGATAAGACATAAAAGGGAGAGAAGAAAATTGATTGAAATGCCTCTTGAACGAGCTCTCAAATATGGAGATTTTTAGGTGTTTTGTGGCAACATTTCACACTACAATATGCCTCACAAAATTCTCAAGAAATACAATAAGAGGAGGAGAGAGAGAAATTTCGAGTTCTAAGGAGTCTTGGACGAAATTTTGTGGCCCAGAAAACAATGACTGAGTCTGCTATTTATAGATATCAGAAAGTGGTCAGAACGACCTGTTCCAAAATCGAAACGGGCTATTCTGGATTCGACCATTATGTATTAATTTTGTAACTGGGACGGCCCGTTCCGGAGATGAGTTTAACACATAACTGATTACGCTAGAACGACCGTTCTAAATAAGGGTTTTTAGGCCTTTTTAATAACTTAGAACGGCCTGTTCCAGTTTAGGAATAACTCGTTCTAATTTAGGAACGACCCATTCCAAACATAGGTTTTAGCCCTTTTTTAGGAACTTGGAACGGCCCCTTCTGGTTCAAGTCTTCCAAGCTCAGTAGAAAGAGATCCTTTAATCAAGGAGCCTAAAGCCATTTTGGATCGCATGACAGTCAAGAGAAAGGGTCAAGCTATTACCAAGGTGCTAGTGAAGTGGAAGCATAGCTTGCCAGAAGCTGCAACTTGGGAATTCTTCTTTGATTTGAAGCAAAAGTATCCTCACTTCCAGCCTTGAGGACAAGTTTAAAGCTAAGGGTAGGGAATTGTTACGAGATATTTTGTAAATAAATCATACTTATGTAATAAAAGTGAATAAAGCAATAAGAGAGGATCTCATTTGTAATTATTCAAAGAGTAGTTCGAATAAGAAACTTCCCAAATTGGGAAGCTGTTAGATAGTTATGCGAGTAGTCAACCATAAATAGAGGTTGACCCTTTTCAATAGGGTGGGGGGGAGTTCTTAAAATAACACTCTTGTATCTCCATCTTTCTTCTAGTACGATTCGGATGCCATTCCTTCAGTGGCCTCCCTATTATATCTATGTAATTCTTCAATCTTTATCCTAGAGTTACCGTAACAACATCATACGAGTGAATGCATCCACGAGCATGAGAGAGAATCAAACTTGACAGAGATGATTGTTACCACGCATGTAGCATTTGATCTTGCTATTCCAAAGCAAGATACAACGGGTGATTTTTTCGATAGGAAATTTTGATGGAATTTGAGATGAAACAACAAATTCATGAAGCCTATGCTCTTTGATTATTGGTTTTATGTGTTGATGTCACAACAAAAAATTCTTATCATCAAGTTTTTTCGGGATTTGATGCAAAAAAAAGTAACCAAAACTGTCGTCGGAGTCGAAGTCGATGGATCACGATTCTGCTGGAAATGCTAATGCAATGGCGACATATGTGAACCGATTCTTGATGTGTGTGGAAGCCATGAGAGAGGATTAAAAGGCAAAATATATTATATTAGAGAAAACTATAGTATATTTCACTGACTGAAAATGAATATATACAATAATCTGAGTCTTTGTTTATACCTTGTGATGCATGGATACGATATGTGTATCGGATACGGCGATACGTCAAGTTTTGAAAATATAGGATACGATATATTTAGGATATGTATTAAAAAAAAATTGATATATAAAATAGTAATTGCAAATAAATATCATTCAAAAATCAAAATTAAAAATACATTTCTTGCTTTTTAATTTTTAAACATTACTAAAAAAAATTAAAAATCATTTTTTATTGTCAAGAAATAGGAATAGTATCAATTTCATCCCCTCCTTGACCATCATCTGTAAATAAGACAGGTTTCATTTCTTGTTCATCAAGAGATAATGACGCCACCTCAAGATTTTCAACACCATCAAAGCTACCCCATGCATCTCCACCAATGTCCCACATTCTAGTACTCCCTTGCATATATTCTTCATTTTTCCTTGACAAGAGTCGCAAATTAGTATGTACATAAACCAAGTCTTCTGCTCTTTTAGGATTCAACTTATTACTTTTCAGGAAGTGAATGAAGGGATAAGTACTCCAATTTCTTTCGCAACAAGATGAAGAATTAGGTTGTACAAAAAGCTTTAAAGAAAGCTTTTGAAGGAGAGGGGCAGAAGAACCATGCATTACCCACCAGGATTTAGCATCTAATGCCCATCTATCTTCAATCGAGTCAAAAGAAGCAAAATTATGAGCTTTTGATAAAAAATCAGCATATTCAAGAGAAACCTTTCTTCTTTCTTTAGTTGTTGTGAAAAGTTTTTTTAAACATTTATTTCTTTCCATAGAAATTTCTTCATCCTCATATGGGGAAATTCTATTTGGAACCTCTTGAAGCCATTCATCACTATAGTACCTGTGAATAAATAAAAAAGTTAATAAATAAAAAATTTAGTAACTATCAAATTATTTATAAATAAATAATAAAACAAATAAATATTTAATAGGCTAATTTTACCTAGGATTCAAAGAGTGAGCCATGCAGTGGAGAGGGGTGCAACTCTTAGTTCACCTATCAATTAGTATAGAATAAATAACTTCATAAAATGTTGATGTATCATTTAACTCTTTTCCTTCATATCTATATATAGACGTCTTTACTTTTTCTATCATACTATCTCACATCTCATAGACCAAATGAAGTGTGAGAATATCTATGTCACAAGCCCTAAGCATACTATAAATAGGCTCGGTGAAATTAAGAATATATGTAATTTTGTCCCACCACACATCATTCAAAATAAATTCTTTTGTAGCTTGGGCCTTACCCATCATCGTCTCTATAAGAGTTCCATTCTTCACTAATAACCATTGATTGCAAAGCACCTTTCAAAAGTTTAAATCTCTTTAACATCACTAGAATAGATGCAAAGCGTGTTTCAGCTATAGCAAGCAATTTTAGAGGTGAAAAGTGATTAAAAATTGCCAATCTCATTGAGTGATTCATGATAAAGTTCCTAACAAAAGAAACATCATCAACAACTTGAGTAATCCAATTACATTCAGCATAAGCTACCTCATTCCTTTCAGTGTTTTTGGTAGCACATATATTCTTCAACACAAGGTTCAATGTGTGAACAACACAAGGAGTCCAAAAAATTTTAGGAAAAGAAATTTCAACAATCATTCCAACACCTTTGCATACAGGAGAATTATCTGTTATAATTTGAACAACATTTTGTTCTCCTACTTCTTTTATAACTTCTATCATCTTATCAGCCATATAATGTTTTTTTTAATCTCATCAAAAGCATTAATAACTTTTAAAAATATTGGACCCCCTTCACTTGTAGCCATCAAATTAATTAAAGGTCTTCTTTGAACACCTGTCCATCCATCAGATACTATGCTAACACCTTTTGCAATCCAAGTCGATTTAATAGCTTTAAGCAACCTCTCAACTCGTGTCTTCTCTTGTTGTAAGAGAGTTGTCCTCAAGGCATTGTATCCAGAAGGGAGAAAACCATTAAGCATGTGATTTGCAGCAAATGAATAAGAATTCACATAATAGGGATTTCTGGCAAGGTTGAAGGGCAATCCAGAAGAATAAAACATTCTAGCAATGAGAGCTTTGAGATTATCTCTATTTTCTAAATTAAATTTTTTCTCCAAAGGACCAACGTTTCTTTTTTTCAATAAAGAACTCTGATGCATTTTCTCTGTAGGCAATGAGACATGCTTAGGTTTTACTTTATTTTTAGCCAATTCAATAATTGATTTTAATTCAACCAAATATTGATCATTTACACTTGCAGACACGGAAATTCTAGTTCCATAAATCCTCAACAAATGAGTTTTAACTTTTGAATAAGAACTTTTATAAACCTTTTGACAAAAATTACAAAACCAACTCTTATTTCCTTCCCCTTCTGAATTTTTATCTAATATGCTAACATAACACCAAAGAGGAGCATGATCATCTTGTACAACATCAGCAGAAACGAACTTACTTGAAATTTTAGAATTGATATTAGAATCAGAACCAGAAGCATTTGCTATTGACATTATAAATAAATAATTTTTATGCTTCTGCAAAAAAAAAAGTATATCTATGTTAAATTGCTAATTGTTAAATAAATTATACAACTTAAAAAATTTTAATCACTCTGAATCATAAAAATATAAATTATAAAATATTAAGTAATTTCACAAAAGGCACTATAACTTGAAGATATAAAAATAATAAATTAAACATTATGAAATATTTTTTATTTGTAATTTTATATTAATATAAATAAATTATATAAATATTGAGTATTTAAGTATTTAACTAATTTTAATATTATAATTTCATCTAAATTAGTATATATTAAAAAATTAAAATTAAGAAAGATAATTAAAATTAAAAAAAAAAACATGTATGGGAGATTGAAATTTTGTTAATTTAAAAACTAGAAATTAAAAATTTGTTACAATTTTTTTATACATTTTACTATTTTAGAGATGCTAAAAAAGGATTAAAAAATTCTAATTATTATTGATTTACAGTTTACATAAAGTTAAAAACTTTTTTAAATAAATCATAAAATTAAATGTAAAAAAAATGGTGAGTGATTATCCTAAACGTGTAAAGCTGCTGGAATAATTATCCATTTTTTAATAATCATAAAATCATCATAAAATTAATAATTTTATACTAACACCTTTTATAATTTAAATAAAAAGAAAGTAAAAACAACACAGTGCAGTAGTGCACAGTACACACCACAATCTGCACACTTGTCATTCAAAAAGGAAAAAAGTTATTACACAACGCAGTTTGCACACCGCAGTGTAGTTGTTAATACATTGTTACATTTAAATTACACACAACAACTAAAAGCAAAAGGCCAAAATACTTTCCCCCAAAAGTCAAGACCAGAGACTCGAGAGAAATATGGGTGCAGAGTGCGCAATGCTCAAAATCAAAAATAGGTTTCACACTTTTCCCTTCTCACTCACTGCGAAAACCTTACAGGAAGAATAATGGAGAAAAGGAGATGATATTCTTTACCTGGGTGAGTGGGTCACTGGTGTTTGGCTGCAACGCATCAACGCATCCCGATCTGGCTTTGGAATGTAAAGATCTTCATCTCAAATTTTTGTGTTTTCTTACTTATTTATGCTTGATTTTTGAATAATGGATTCGTATAGCAACAAATTTGCAAAATATTTTTTCTTTTTTTTTTTCTTTTTTTAACAAAATCACTGTAGATACGTTTGAGATACGTATCTTTAGTGTATCGAAACGTATCCGTATCAGATATGTATCCGATACGGATACGAGATAAAATTTTGTGTATCCGTGCTTCTGAGTTTACAACCCTATATATATACTACAAGGACTCGGGAAGGAAAAATAGTACAATTGTTTAACTAAGATAGTTATAAAAAAAACAAACAAACTAACTCCACAACTAATTTAACCACTTTTCAAAATTATCACAACTTACAGCTTGTGAAAATGGAATTGGATCATTTTCATTAATGCTTGAGTCAGTTTCTAACTCATGTAGATATACCATATAGTCATTTGAAATAACTGGTCTCCTTTCTCTTTGTGACCTCCGTCAGTTTCTAACTCATGTAGATATACCATATAGTCATTCGAAATAGCTGGTTTTTTTTCTCTTTGTGACCTTCTTAATGCTATTTCTTGTGGTTGTTCTACAATAGGTTCATTATGAATCATGGGTTCATTATTGTGTTGCTCTTCTTCATTGTTGTTTGACTCAACAGTTAGAGGAACACTTACTTTATTGCCAGAGGCATAAGTCAAAGGAACTTGCATTCTAACTTCTTTGACTTCCACTTTCTGTGGAATTGTACTCCCACTAACTTCACCATTTTCAATGAACCTTGCATTTCCAGTTTCAACAATTCTCATATTATGATTAGGACAATAAAACATATACCCCTTTGATTTTTCTGGATAAACAATGAAATATCCACTGATTGTTCTTGCATCCAATTTCTTTTCTTGTGGATTATAAATCCTTATTTCTGCCTGACAACCCCAAACATGTAGGTGCCTTAAACTAGGTGTCCTACCAGTCCACAATTCAAAAGGTGTCTTTGAAATTTCCTTACTAAGAACCCTGTTTAACAAATACATGGCAGCTTTCAAGGCATACATCCACAAATATATGTGTAAAGTTGAATTACTTAACATACTCCTAACCATATCCATTAATGTTCTATTACGCCTTTCTGATACACCATTTTGTTGTGGTGTACCTGGCATTGTATATTGAGCACAAATGCCACGT